TATATACTGTATTAGTATGTATAAAGGTACTGTTTTTGTATGACAACCCAGCGATAAGGATGCCTGCAGCGCCAGCACGTTACGATGTCACACACTCCGTTGAGTTTAGATTTGTGAAAATTTACAAATTTGCACTGTTCTAGTGTTGTCATTGTGTTAGAGAGTAAATATCATGAATAAATATGACATTAAACATAATCCAAGTTGAAATGTTACATCATTTTCAGCCCCATTTTTGGCATCTGCATTTGGTAGCAGACCAAATTGACAAAGACCATGAAGAGTAATGTAGTATTTTTATTTCACAGCAGCGAAAGCTATGTAGTCTCTGTAAGTTGGTCTAGGGAAAAAATATCGGTATATTGGCCAAAAATCCAATATTGTGCATCCCTTGTAAATATATATCTTTTTATAATTTTGTGAATCGTTGAGTTCTTTTGTAGTTGTGTCATTATCAGTATTGCTTATGTTCATTGCATCATTTTGGAGTTGGATGGACTTGGGGTGTTAATGCTGCGGCATTGTTCTGAACTTTATAAACTCTGCAGCCTGAGTGTTTCTCAAAAATACAGAATGGAGATATCTGCATTACAGACTCCAAGAGGTTTTTATCTTCAACCCTTTTCATCAGAGTGTAAACAAGAGGTGGCCTCTTTTCTGACCCACTTTCTTCATGTCTCTCTTTGTGCAGGTAAAGGTGACCTGATCGGAGCGAACCTGTCTTTGGATAACCGAGTGATAAAGACCAACGCAGATGTGAAAGCCCTGACCTACTGTGACCTGCAGTGTATCAACCTGAAAGGCCTGTACGAGGTGTTGGACCTGTACCCGGAGTACTCTCATCACTTTGTCCAGGACATCCAGCAGGACCTCACATACAACCTGAGGGAGGGACACGAGACGCATGTGAGTGCATCCAAAACATGCACGTTTTTTTTTTAAGAATTCAAACTATTTACAATGTAACCACCTCTGCACACTTTGTGCTACTTTAGCCGTTGATATATCAAAACGTTCACCTCATTCAGGAGATGTGTGCTAGGGCTTTTGTTTTTTGTAACGTTTACACTTTTTCAAACATTTTAACTTTGTTTAATATTTTGTTCATCTGAATACATTAGGATCTGTACAGTTTCTTCAAAAATGTTCTTCTCTTAAATATACTAGCTGTATTTTTGTCTTCTTATGATACTTTCAGGTTTTAGCTATTCTGCAATTTTTACTGTACCATGCCACTTTATTTATAAAGCAGTTTAAAACAGCGACAAGGCCAACCAAAGTGCTGTACAGCAAAAACAAAACATAGCAAAAAATACATAGATCCACAGAGGTAAAGATAATGACTAAATGACTAACATTATATAAATACAGACAACTTAAAATCAACTCGTGTCAAAAGCCATAGAATAAAAGTGAGTTTTCAAAAGAGACTTAAAAACAGTGAGAGAGGAGTCCTGCCTGACATGACATGACAGGACCTGCAACGGAGAAGACCCTGTTACTTTTGAGCTTAAAACAAATGTCTGGGACCAATAAAAGCATCTGTTGACAGAGAGTGTTGTGGGACATATGGCTGCAGCAGATCAGCGAGATAGGAGGGGGCAGAACTGTTCAGAGGTTTTTAAAACACACAGAAGGATTTTAAAATGAATTTGAAAGTGAACAGGGATCCAGTGAAGGGAGGCCAGAACTGGAGTAATATGCTCTCTTTTGCCTAGCTTTTAGTTTTTTAGCATTCTTTTAGCTTTTAGCTCATCTGTTGCCACATTTAGCTTTAAGCCAACCTTTTGCTACTTTTAGATTATTGCTAGCTTAATATTTTTAACTAGTTAGTGTTCTGCTTCTTTTAGCTCTAACAACACAGTTTTAGGGGCAGCACGGTGGCGCAACTGGTAGAGCTGCTGCCTCTCAGTGAGCAGGTCCCTGGTTCAAACCCCGGTCCAGGGGCCTTTCTGGGTGGAGTTTGCATGTTCTCTCCGTGCATGCGTGGGTTTTCTCCGGGTACTCCGGTTTCCCCCCACAGACCAAAAACATGCATGTTAGGCTGATTGGTAACTCTAAATTGTCCCTAGGTGTGAGTGAGGGAGTGAATGGTTGTTTGTCTCGTTTGTCTCTATGTGTCCCTGTGATGGACTTGCGACCCATCCAGGGTGTACCCCGCCCTTCGCACAGTGATTGCTGGACATGGGCACCAGCGACCCCCGTGATCTAAAATGGAATAAACGGGTAAAGATAATGGATGGATGGATGGAACACAGTTTTAGGTTATTCCCCAAATTGCAGCAAAGACATTCAGCACTTTGCTTTTTAACAGAAAATGCTGTATTTCTCTAGATAACTTTTTTGTACGGCAACACTTTTTGTGTCCAGCCAATATTTGATTTTGAGTCTCTGCAAGTTGGGAGATGGCCTCACAAACATCTTCCCCACTTTGTGTCTTTCACTAGTTTCATGTTGCCTGTGGTTTGCTTTACACATTTGGGTTTTTATACAATTTAGCACTATCTTTGATAAACTCAAATGGTTCCTCTCTTTGCCCATTTTTAGTCAAAAGACACAAATCAGGAGCTCATGTTGTTGGTCTTTGTGGGTCCAAGAAAAGAGGGCTCAGTGTCGTTCAGAAGCCATGTACTCAAACATGACCAGTGTGGCCTTTGAGGTTTTTTATTAAACTCGAGGTCTTTTAATTCACCATAGGCTCCTGAACTTTTAATTATCTTCTTGCTTCAAATAGCTTTTCACCCATACTTTACATTGCCTTTAAAAATTATTATTTTTACTTACATTTTCTTTTTTTAAGAACGGTCACAGAAAATAAAGATTATAGTGAGAAACAAACATAGGATCTGACTATAAAACCAAACAAAGGAAGAAAAATAAAATCCAATCTTCCAGTAAGTTTTTACTGTACAACTTTAGTAAGAATAATTTTTACACGTGATTTTTATAATCTCCATAAACCCTGGGAGTTCCTGATTGTTTTTGTTCTTATTACAAGAATATAAATTAATGAAGTCTGTTTTACCCACAGCAGTAGTGCAAAATTACCAATTACTGTGCACTTGCTGAATTCTCTGAATCACAACTTATTGTATTAATGTGTGGGAAATTCTAATGAGTTTAGAGATAAGATAAAAACTTCAGGGTGCAGGAAATGGACTTTTTGTGTGTGAAGAGACAGCAAGGTGAGAAAAGCTTTAAATTGAATTTGTTTTTAACATTTTTGGATACCCACTGTAGTGTGATCTAAACCTCCATGTTTACTGCTATTTGTGAAACAAAGTGTCATTTTTGGAGTTTTGCTCAGGATTAGAAGTGAGGGAGTGAATTTGGTTTATGCTTGGTTGTAATTAGATGTGTTAGGTTGTTCATAACAAGAAAAACCCAGTCCAAATAATGCAGCTGGACTAGAGAGTGTACAACTGTGCGAGTGTTGGAGCGAGAAGGAGGGCAAACATAGATGGGGCACTTGGAGAGACTCTGCTTCTGTAATTGCAGTCAGGTGTTTCTCCCACTCTTGCACAGCCACACACACACAAGCACACGTGAAGCAGGAAGTAGTGCTTTTAGGTGAGGCTAATGTGCAGAGAGACAGCCCAGACCTAAGGACTGAGTAGAGGTAAAAAGAAGACAGGTGGCAATAACTGAAGACAGGAGAGTGTTTGAGCTGAGATGTTGGTTTTTTATCTGACTATTACTGTGTTTCATTTAAAAAAAATGCAACGTAACACAACCAATATATGAAGGTGAACAGTTTCCCCAAATTGCCTCACCTTGAGCTTTGCAGTTATTTATCATAGTCCTCTGCTAAATTTAGAAAACAATTTACCATTGAACCCTGTGAAATTGCTCCTCTGTAAATTAAAGCTGATGGGGAAAAAAAGAGCACATGTTGATGGTTTCTTCCATTTACAATTTCCTTTCTGGCTGTCTTCCAGGTCAAGACCAGACTGTCAACAGCAGCTGTAGAGACTCAGGTACCAAACTATAGGAATCACTCTTTGTCTGGCCTGTCACCTACAGTATAGGACCAGTCTGCCTTGGGAGACCCTACTTGGGGCAATAGCTCCCAGGATCATTTAGGCGCACAGACTCCTCAACGATAAGGTGGTGATTCAAGAAGGAGAGGCACCGATTCATTATTTACAATCTAAAACCTACTTTTTGTTCAGTTTCTCTTCATTTAGAAAACGACAGATATCTTCATTGTATACATTAACACATCCTCACAGTTAGTCAGGTCACAATAAATAATCTAAATCTATTTAAAGCTCAAATTAACTTTAAAATACAGATTTTTTTTTTTTTTCATACAAGTCTGTGGAGTGACTCTGCAGTAGATCTCTATCACTGATAATAGGCACTATCAATCTTTCAGAGCTAATCATTTTGCTGGGAAAGTTGGGAGAGGAACAAAAAAGATCAATTCTTCACAAAATTAGTCGTGACCATTAAATTATTCCTGCAGCAAAATAGATGGAAATGAAAAGATCTGCATGACTTCATGCCGTGCTCAGATATTTTACAGAAGAATCAGTTCATCTGTCTGAGTCTTTATCTTCGCAGTGGTGGTATGTTTGTGTATAAAACAATGGATCATGGGCTACTGGTGAATGGTAGCAGAATGTATTACCATTGGTCAAATGAGCCAACAGTTTAGCTATACACTCTGATTTAAAAAATTTTGCAAATAAAACACGGATATTTGATTTTTAATGCCAGTTTCATGGTCTTCTGATTTAAAAGTTTTAGCTTCATTTATAAAATCTACACTTACAAATAATCAGTAAATATTGATGTACAAAAACAACTATTCTGTTCTATTCTGTTCTTCACGGTCATTACTGTGAAAAACACATTGAGTGGAATCAGTAAAAAAAAGAAATGATGTGACAGATAATGGAAATTTGCTAATTCTCCTGAAGAAGAATTAAGCCTTGAACGATTCACATTTTCATAAAGGGATGTTAACGTCATGTCTACAAACTGCTTTTGTCATTCTTTTGTAACATCTACAGGCTTAGTGAATGTGCTCAAATGATTTACTTTACAGTGTTCATACATCACAGTTGATAGATACTTCTTTCAATTTTCTATACTTTCTTTCATCTATCCATCTGTGCGTATGTATGGATGGATTAATGAATGGATCTATGTATCCATGATACATGTATGAGACATGCATGTTTCTACAGATACATACATGTATCTGTCTCTTGTTCTGGAGTCAGGTCACAGGAGAAGCAGCTTGAGTAAGGAGGCCCAGACATCTCTTTCCACAGCCACCTCTTCCAGCTCTTCTGAGAGGATTCCAAGGTGTTCCCTGGCCCTCCAAGAGACATAGTCTCTTTAGCATGTTCTGGGTTTTCCCAGGGGTCTCCTTCCAGTTGGACTCGCTCATAAAACCTCCTTAGGTAGGTGTCCAAGGGGAATCCTTAACAGATGCTTGAACCACCTCAACTGGCTCCTCTCGATGTGGAGGAGCAGTGTCACTACTTCAAGTCTCTCCCAGATAACTGAACTTCTCACCTTATCTCTACGGGACAGTACGGCCACCCTGTGGAGAAAACTCATTTCAGCTGATTCTATCTGCAATCCTGCCTTGGTAGGAACTTAGACCAACTGGTAAACAGAGAGCTTTGCGACATTGCCTTGTAGATCAGCTCCCTCTTCATCACAACAAACTGGCACAGTGTTCAGAATACTCCAGAAGCTGCACAGGCGAGTCTGTCAAACTTCCACTATATTCTTCTCTCACTCAAGAACAGCAGCACCCTGATATGACTCTATCTTCATCTTGACTCTCTCCCTCACTTGAGGTGTTCACCACTGGCTTCAAGGATGGCTGCTGCGAGAGGCACCAACAATCTTGCCACTACAGCTTAAAGGCAGCCACCTTGACAGTAGAGGTAGAGATTATGGCCCACTCAGACTCATTGTCCCCTACCTTTGCTGATATGTGGCTGAAGTTCTCTCAGACGTGTGATTTGGGGGGAGTGGTGGCGCAGAGGTTAGAAGATGGGCTTGTGATCGGAAAGTCGCAGGTTCACCTCCCGGTACCGTCAACAACAAAATGTGGGTGGAAAAGGTGAAACACTCACACCTTCCTCCACCCTCATTCGCCCCACCCTGGGCCCCTGAGCAAGGCCCTTAACCCCCACCATCTGCTCCCTAAACAGGTCTCTCTTGAAAATGAGTTCTCGTGGCTCAATGAGACTACCTGTATAAATAAAGGGTAAATGAAATGAAAAAAAAAAAAATTGAAGGCCCTTCTGACAGGTTCTTATACCAGGTGTTTCCAGCAAACCCCCACTACTTATTTCAGTCTACCAGTTCTCTCCAGCATCTTACTCTGTCATCTGATCCAACTCATCACCAGATCAGATGACAAAACTACAAAGTCTGTCATCAATCTGCAACCTAAGGTGTCCTGGTGCCATGTGCAGTCATCATTGTGTTCGAACATGTTATTCTTGATGGACAAACCGTGACTAGCCTAGAAGTCCAACAATAGAACACAGCTTGGGTTCAGATCAGAGAGGCCTTCCTCTCTGTCATGTCCCTCCAGGTCACACTGTTGTTACTCACATGGGCATCGAAGTCCCCATCAGAATAAAAGAAGCCTCAGTTGAGGCACCTTCCAGCATTTTGCTAAGGACTCTAAAGGTGCTTTGCCAATGATAAGTTGGCCACTCGTTTTTAATCTTATACTTGTTCTTCTAAGGTGAAGATGATTTGCCACTGTGGCTTGTTTCCCTGGAGGTTCAGATGGACTTTTCAGTTTTGCTGGGCAGGTCATTTACGTCAAAATTGTCACCTTGAAGCAGTCCACTTGGAACCTCAAACAAGATGGTCCCATAAACCAGGTTGGGTGGGAGTGACTGCTGTCATTGGGCAGGTCCTTAACTGGTGCAATGTGGTGCAGAACTGATGAGAGTTGCCAGTGGCAAAGCACCATAAGAAGACTAGGTAACTGCTATGTGGGTGCATAAAAAAACATTAAGAGCCCATTTCCCCACCCGATGCACAGACACCAAGCCAGAGAGCTGTAAGTAGACCCACACCAGCCCAGCATCTCTCACCATGGGCACCACCAGAGTAGAATAAGGTCCAGCCCCTCTCAAGGTGATTGATTCCAGAGTCCATGCCATGTATCAAGGTGACCCTCCCTGACTATATCTAGTCAGTACCTATCAATGTCACGCACAAGCTTAGGCTCCTTCCCTGCTAGAGAGGTGACATTCTTTCCAGCTTTGGTAAGCCTGGGTCAGAGGCCCTGTCTTTGGCTCCACTCATGGCACCATGCACCAGACTCGTATGGCCCCTCCTGCAAGTGGTGTGCCCACAGGAAGGCAAACCCATGTAACTCATTCAGGCTGAGCTCAACTGGGCCCCAATGAGTAGAGGCCTGGTTACCAGGTGCTTTTCATTAAGCCCCTGCTTCAGGCCTAACTCCAGTGTAGGGCCCTGGTACCCCATGTACAGACAAGAGACACCAGGCTTCTTGTTATTGTCTGTTCATAAGAGTATTCTGAATCATTTGTTTTCTGGACGGTCATGTTGGACAGATCTGTTTGGTGAGATCCTGCCAGGGGAACTTGTCCCTGACAGTATAGCTCCTAAGATCATTCAAGCGCACAAACTTCTCCACCATAATAAGGTAGACGTAGACATTCACAAAGGTGTCCATTTTCTGTTTATGTATATGCTTTCATTTCTATTCCAGTCAGGAGTCAGAAGAAATGGGCGAGTGGTTCAGGGCCACTCAACAACTGAGGCACAGAACGAGCACAATGAAGATGCAGAAGAGGATGAAGAAGACGTGTCCGTAGCTCTGCTGTCAGAGCAGCGCCAAGCAGCTAACCTCAGGAACCCTGGGGGAACGGCTCCTCTCTGCCAACCCAGTCAGAAGACCACAACACACAGCTCCAACCAGTCTCAGAGGGAGGTCCAAGACATTACCCCCACCAATATAGACCCGTCCAACCTCAGTCCAAGGTGAGATTAATCACCTCAGTTTTAATTGTTAGACATAATTTGACATGATGCTTTTTATCATCCGTTATATAAATTTGAGCAACAAAACAAAGTAAATAAAAAAAAGAAAAATATTTTATATAAAAATTTGAACATCTTTTACAATGTGATCCACCAAGTGAAGTCCAAGTGTATACAAAACAAAGACTGAATCTATTATGAAATGATTTGCACAGATTAACATAGATTGGTTTTATTTATTCTTTTAAAGTGAATAACATTATTTATGCTTAATTGCTTTTTTACTGGTGCAGAATAATTATGCAACATATGTGCACTTCTATAAAGACAATAAAAGATAAAAAATTAAAATAAAATAAAAAGGTCCTGAGGATGATAATGAACAACAGCTGGAACAGCATTAGTGAAAGTGTGCAAAGATTCCATACTTCCCTCTTACACGTTTCTATAACCTGTATTTACTGCAAATTGTGAAACTTTAATCTGCTTTTTAAGGTTTTTCAAATTATCACCTGCCACTGAAGGTGGAGGAGGAACAATAATGTTTTGTTGTTAGTAGCTGAGTTCCAACTTATACTCTGACTGCCAACTAATCGCACAACATCTGTGTTTAAAAACTTGGTCATTACCTATTCGAATCAATTCTGTCTGTTAGCAGAATATTGCATAAAGTCAGAAAGTAATCAATGGGTGTACATCTAACCGATTCAGTCAAAGATGGTTGCCACAGTCAGCTGATCTTGGAAAACACAGAAATGGATATATTCAGCCACTCTTACAGATATTGAGCTAAAACTTGTTTTGGTAGTATCTGCGTTGCTCCAACACAAACTTCAAGCACAACATGTTGTGCAACATCTTTTCCTAAAGCTTTGACACAAACTATTGAAGTTGACACTGTTCGTCTGTTAGCAAACTTTCTCATGATCCACTCAACAGATTCCAAAGAAACTCTCAGAAAGTATTTGTTGTACATCTACAATTGATTATGATTTGAACTGAAGCCAGTTTAAGATGATCGTCACAGCCAATCAAACTTAGCCAACACAAGCATGGCTTTAGTTTAATCAGTTTTACAAACGCTGAGTTCAAATTGGCCGTGCTAGGAGCTGACACCATCAAGCTGCTAGCGGGACCTGCTAACAAGACCACACCACTAACAGAACAGAACCATGCTGCTGAAAGAACCTCCCTGCTAGCCAAACAACAATGTATAGTATTTCTTTTTCACTTTTGGCGCATTGTTTTTAGTATTTTTGCTCCATGCTTTGGTATTTCTTGTTGTTGCTTCTTTTTTGGCAAGTCGGTTCTGCATTTAACCCATCTACCACCAGGTGGAGCAGTGGACAGCTGCGAAAAGCACCCGGGGAGCAACTGGGGATAATGTGTCCTGCTCAGAGACACCACGAGATGTGCAATGACCTAATGGAGGCCGAGATGGTGTAGGGGCAGGGCAGCTGACTCGGGACCCGAAGGTCCTGGGCTTGATCCCCAGTCATTGCACATCTTGTGGTGTCTCTGAGCAGAACGCACTATCCCCAGTCGCTCCCCTAGCACCTTCCACAGCTGCCTGCTGCTCCACCTGCTGGTGGTTGGGCCAAACGCAGAGAGCCAGTTTTGCCATTGTATGGGAACAAACAATGATGACAACACATGCACATTATTATTATTATTCTCGTCCTCAGCATTTCATTGCTTTGTTGACCTTGTGTTGATTTTTGCATATGACAAATAAACCAAATCATTCCCAACACATGCTCCAAGTTGTAACAAATTATTATATTGTGACAAATGGAAATTGTGCAATATGTTATTTTAAAGGTTTAGCCAAAATGGCTCCATCCCTTCTAGTCAATTCAATTCAATTCAGTTTATTTATATAGCACCAAATCACAACAGAAGTCATCTCAGGGCACTGAACAGAAACGTTCACATATAAGTTAACATTATTTATCTCAGGATCAGACTGCATTGGGTTTAACTCTATTGCAGAACTCTCATTTTGAGCAAGCATGAAGGTGACAGTGGAAAGAAAAAACTCCCTCATGAAGAAGAAACCTTTAGCAGAACCAGGCTCAGGACAAGCGGCCATCTGCTTGGACCAGCTGGGTTTGAGAGGAACAGATACACAATGGCAGGTCAAGAATCAAAACCTTCTCAACATAAACTGATAACAGGTGCTCATGCTTCAAGTCTTTTAAATACATTAAAGGGACATTTAATATATTTTCAAGTTGAAGTATAAAAAATGTTAAGAACACTTTATATCTTGTTTTAGATAGCTCCGTTTCTTATGTTCTGACAGTCCTGTAAAAAATGTCCCAGGCTACATCGCAAGTGCCACAGCAAGTTGAAATTTAGAAAATAGAGAGGTTATGAACCACTTTTAAAATTTGTGAGAGTGGAGTTGTTTTCAGATGGTCTGAGCTCCACTCAATCCACTCAGCATTATTATATCTCCAAACTGAGGCTGTTTAAAAAGCTATCTGCATCTTGATGAAGAGCTGGAGCAAGAGCAAAAGAAAGAGCTCCTTCAGTTTTGGTATGACAGAAAAACTCTTTTAAAACTCTACAATACAGCACAGACTGAGAATTTTAAGCTCTCCTCTTTACTGATGTCTTTAGAAGTAATTTCTAACCTGTTGACACGTCTGATCCCCTTTTTTTTTCTATCTGCAGTGACCTACCTAGGCTTTTCTTCTGGACAGTGTATTGATCATTCTGATAAATGCTGTTTTGTGAACCCCTGTTTCTTTTGGCACAGAGATGCTAGCACCTGCAGCCAATCAGTGTTAATGTCAGAAAGAGACTCTGTCATGTAAAAGACATTTAGAAATTTGATTCTGCAAAAGGAATAATTTTTTTTTATTTAAACCTTTAGTTAACCAGGTAGATCACATTGAGAATAAAAATTACTTTTCCCAGAAAAATCAAAGCCAATGAAGAGTTGGCTGAAAAAAATGAAGCAGTCTTATTTTTTATTTTTTTTCCAATTAGCTTTTTGCCAAAGTGTTGAATTATTTTTTGCAATGTCAGAATAATTATGTCAAACTTGGAGGGTAGTGGTTCCTACAATCTTTTCTTTGCTATGCTGTAAACACAAATATTTGTCTCTCTGCAGGATTGTGGATGGCACTGAAGACAGTGAGGGAACAGAGGGTTCGCAGACTTTCTCCTTTTCTACCAACATGGGTTGTCCTGTCAGAGCTCCAACCAGTGCCTCCTCCTCCACCACAGGTCTTTTCATCACACAACGCTCAGTTGACTCCTCATTAGCAATCCCTGTTTACTTCCAAAGCCCTGCAGTAATATGAAACTAATGGGGACAATTCATTTTCTTTCATGGATAAAATGTTTAGCGTCCATCTTTCCGCAGTAACATTGGGGGTGAACATTTGTTTCTAATTTGTTTACAGTATGTGAAGTGATTTTTAATTTTCTGATTTGTCACAGATATGATGCAAATAAGCACAACAGAATTAGCGGCAAAAGCCGAGGAGACCAGAGGACAACTGCGCCACCTCGACCAGCAGGTAGGATTTGGTGTGTGTGCATATGTGTATTTATACTGGACTCACTTTCTCTAAGGGATTAAAAAAAAGACGATCCTCGTATCGTAAATAATTCAGAGATGGAAATTGAGGTCAAGGGTTTGGTTTACGGTGAGGATTAGGATGCAGCTGGAGAGGATCACAGTTAAGTTTCTGGATCTGAATGTTGGAGAAAAAAAGATGTCATGAAGTGAGTAAAACTTTGGTTGTGTGAGCGGTGGGACTGACAAACAGGTGGAGTAAAGTAAGCACAAACCATATGGATGTGTCAACGTTTAAAGCACATCACAGATGAAAAGACTGGCAGGTGTAATAAACCATAAAAGATTATTAAAAAAAAATAAAGAGAGACACACATTTGGGCATGGAGCAGTGTTTCTTGGATCTCCAATTACCACCATTATGACTCACATCATAAAACAATAATATAAGTTTACAACCATGTGCAACAGAAACAAGCGATCCCATAACCCTAACCCTGGTGCTTGTGGCTATACAAGCAGTGCCTGTGAAGTTTCTATAGGACCTGGTAACAGCAAAATGTGCACCACAGTGATAAAATTGGGTTCAAGTTATCTCAGGTTTGTAGTCATTTGATGGGGGGAAGAGGAAGAGCCAAGACTGCAGCATAGGCGGCGCTGCTTTAAAACATGCATACAACCACTGGACCTCAAACCAGAACCACAGCCGTAATTTCTGGACTACTGAGCGCACCTGAATATAAGCTGCACCCGTTAACTTTAGTTAGTTTAGTTTGTGGGTGTCCACATTGTAATTGGATATTTACACAGAAAGATTTTTTTAAATTTTAATTCAATACTTACCAGTAACACACACAAATACATACAGTAAATCCAACATTTTTCAGTCAGGTCATCTGGACAGTTTCTTTTTTTGTGCTGAAACGTTTCGCCTTCGATCCGGAAGGCTTCATCAGTCAACATACAGTAAATGTTTTTTCCCTGAACAGTGCCAGTAACACAGCTTGTTTAAAAAAAAAAATCTGTGGTCTACCAGGAAGTCATTGATCGCTTCATCTTCCTCCTGAGCACTTGAGCTTGTGCCGTCCTCTTCTTCACGCTGCTGCCTTTCGAAACCCGTTCCGTGATAGAGGATTTATGTATCTTGCTCGGATGTATGGATCCACAAGAAGGGGTTCTCTGCAGACCAAAAGTGGGCGTTTCTGGAGAACAGACATTTCTAGAAGACAAACACTGATTGGCTAGCTGTATTTGCTGCTCTTTATTTAAGTTACATCAGCTCTTTTTTTAAAGTGAAGGTTTCTAAGAAACAGCGTTAAATCTAATGTCAAACACAAGAAGATTCTCTTGTTCTTGGTTGTAGGCTGCACCTGACACAGGTTGTCTTGAGTCTGGTCTGAGTACAATGAAATATGAAGCATCTGATGTGAAACCTGCTCCTATTTGTCAAAAAGTCTGGTCTCAATTAAAGATCATGAGTCCTGTAACGAGATAATGGCACAAAACAAAAGCTTAAAACAAAATGTGCTCTTTAGAAGTGTTCTTAGATCTGATCTATGAAAGGAGCTGAAACATGGAGTAGGATTGACCCTTAAAATCTGAGACAGCTGCATGAGGAAGTTAACCAGTAAACAGAAATACCTGCTCCAGTTGCGGAAATCTTACAGAAACTGACAATCACTCATCTGTAGTGACTGCAGGTTAACAAGAAAATGTGAAGTTAAAGGAAACATCCTTTGTCCTAAGACCAGTTTAAGTATCATTAATATTTTGGTTACTTTATTTTTCTTTCTTTATGAATTGATTGTAACTACTATCACATTATTCAACAACCGAAATTGATTTTTTAAATTTTTTTTTATGTAATGGATATGTATTTAAAAAAAAACATTTAGCCCTCCCCACTACCCATTTATGTTGCTCTTATTTTGAAATGTAACCGGAAGTTCTGTGTTAAGAGAGGTGGAAAGAAAAGGTATGGAGACACCACTAATGTCGAACCCGTTAACACCATAGACATAATATGTCTGTGGTTAACATAAACGGCATGTTTTTTTCTGTCCAGCCATTTTTTTTTGTTGGTCCAATCAGATGTGGCCCTCCAGATACGCCCATTGTTTTATCGTCCAATCAGATGTGACCCTCCAGATACGCCTTCCGTATTTGTCTGCAGAGATACTTGGGATCCACTGGCAGACTTGAGTAAATGTTGCTCTTCGCATGCGACCAGTTTTGGTCAACCGCTAGCCATCCAAACCTCCCACCGAGCTCGGAGTGCCACAATTCACATTTATTTTGAGTGGCTGCAAATACTTCCTTATGCCTCCTGGGAGGACGGAAACAAAATCCCCTCCCCTTGCGGGCACAACAGAGAGGGGAGGAGATAACGAGGGTGGGGAGGGGGTGGGGGGGGACTTTGTTTTTCCACCTCCTCCCCATTGACCAATAAAACCAAGTTTCATTATATATACTGTAACCTGTTTGGTAATTTCATCGGTTTGATTTTTTTTAACCTTTATTTATACATAGTCTCATTGAGTCACAAGGACCCACCCCCCATTAGAGATGTGTATTGGGCAGCTATGTGAACGTCTGGGTGTGATAAGGCTAAATGTTTTAGTGGCAGGAAGCTCATTAACCCGTCAAAAGAAAATCCATAAATTAGCCGCGGCATTTTATAAACCGTGGTGTTCAAATCGTGTGGGAAAAGTAGCAGCTTATAGTCTGAAAATTACGGTACACCCTTTTTACTGCACTTCTGTTTTGAGTATTTTTCATTTAGAGACAAGCTCTTAATGTACTTAATACTTAATTTTTTTAAATAGTTTTAAAGGCTCTTCTGTTCAATTGTGATTTTGAGTTTTTAAGTTGGAACATGGTATAAAATGTTAATAAAAACAAAATGCAGGGCTTTGTAAATTTCACAAACCTTTATTTTAATTACTGTGGAACTTATAGAACCTATCAAATACATATTTAAACTGATAAGTTTTTACCTTTTTGGGAAAAGTATAAGGTAATTTTGAGTTTGATGGCAGCAACACATAAAAAATGTAAACGAGGAAAGAGAATGCTGTAAATATAAGCGGAAATAATTAAAAATAAAAAGCTGGAGGAGCATTTAGCAATGAATTAGATTTACTGGCAGCAGGTCAGTAAGAGGATGGGGTATAAAAAAAAATTAGAGAGGCTGAATCCCTCAGAAGTAAAGATGGGTAGAGGTTCACCAGTCTACAAAAAATTGCGGCTAAAAATTGTGAAACAATTTCATAATATTGTTCATCGAAATTAAAAAAAATAAAATAAATAATAGAAAAACTTTGACTATTTAAATATTCATATATTTTCTAAAACATTTTATATGTTTATTAGGCTCCACTGGTATGAGTTCATGAGAATTGAAAATCATTGCATTCTGTTTTTATTTACATTTTATACAATGTCCCAACTTTTTCAGAATTGGATTTGTATTATTTCAGGCCTGTTTTCAACTAGTCATCAAGACGTATCTATAAGGTGGTGAGTAAATATTTGTTGAAATATTTTTTGCTCCAGATCTTTTTTAAAGTTTTCTCCCAGGCTGCAGTGACTCAAAGTTCAGTTGGACTGGTCTTAATGGGGTGTTCATTCAGAAACCTTTTGCACACAACGTCAGCACTTTTGGAACATCTGTTACAGATTTTACAAATGCATCTTAACACTGAACCAATAAATGCCGCCATGTTTGTCAAAATATTATTATTAAATATAATATTTGAATGTCTTCAGAATGATATTTATCAACTCTCATTTGTAGAAAGTCATGAAAGTCTGTTAAAGCAAGACAGAATCCATGTGAGCGAGAGGAACACGTCTGAAACTGAAGCTGCAAGGAGCAGAGGATGAGTTTGAGTACTTAACCGTCCAAAGCAACAGGCTGTACATGCCAAGCCTCAGAGATGATGTGTGACAGCGGCACAGATAAAAGGAAAGTTTTAAAGGGAGGTGGAATGAACTGCAGTATGGTTTGGAGACAAAGGTCGAGAGATGAGAGGGTTCAAACATGTGCAGAGGACGGATAGTGGATGTATTGGACATTGAATATAGCTGCTAGGGAGAAAGATCACTGGAGGTTCATGGATGTAATAAAAAGCAGGGTTGGTGTGACAGCGAAGGATGCCATGGAGAGGGTACAAGCAGATGTGCCACTGTGAAGACCCCTAAAGGGAGCAGTCAGAAAAAGTTGTTCCCGCTACTCTGACCTTTGACTTTAAGGCGAAATGCGCATAAGAAGAGTGTCCCCCTGTAGGAAATGACAAAAGCATTAATAATAGGGCATGGGAACATCAAGGAAATCATAATGTACAGCTCCACAGGAGAGCTGGGATAATGAGGACAGTGTCTCAGCACTCACCACACTTATAAATGCAAGGAGAGCATATACGCATAACACTCACGCTGAGTGGGACACACTTGAATCCTCAAGCAGCGACCCACTTTTATTAAAATGCATTAACTTATGTAACAAACTCAAACAAATTGAACCTGAGCACAGATTTGAAGTGTTCTGTTTATTTTTACATTTTAACATCTCAGCTTTTTGAGAATAGAGCAATTTAGTACCACATTAAATCCAGCCACTTCTGTCCTTGTATTTATATTGTCTTGGATCTGCCATCAGTAAATTAACACTGGAAGTGTTGTATGACAATGCTATTTTCTTCACATTATTAGTATTTCCAGCATGTACCTGTGTACTGAAGTTGGTTCTGGTCAGCTGTGGTTGTCTCTGAGCATGACCACTAACGGTTGTCTCCACCGCGGGAGTCCAAGAATCATGTTGACAGCGTGTCAGATTGGACTGTGCTGCCACTCTCAGCTTTTCTATTTTCATCAGAGCCAGAGTTTAGACCCGGGCTTTCACCAACCGCAAGACAGAAAAAAAAAAAAAAACAATAGAACTATGAAATGAGAAATAATAGCTTTCTCATCAAACATATGACAACACTTTACCAAAACGCTTGTCAAAAATACATAAAGGAATGAGTCTGTGCACTTTTGTGCGTGAGTTTGTCTTCATGTACAACAGTTCCCAGCCAGATTCTGTTGGTTACTGTCACAATAGAGTTGTGTGCTCAGTCTGATCACCTCTTGACATATTCACACAGCGATCAGAGCACTTCCCATGTGGAGCCTTGTGCTGAAGGCTGATGTGCATCCAGTTGCAGTGATGAGCGTCACTGGCCAGATGAATGGTCATGAACTGGTAGAAACAGATGGTGCATTGGCAGGGCTTCATGGCCGTGCCCTCAGTGGACAACACCACGTGCAGAGAGCAGCTAATCACCAGTGTTGTCAGTGTAATGGTGGATTTGTAGCAGCTTGATTTTACTTACGAAACAGCAGACAGAAACAGAAGTTTATGAAAATAACAAATTTATAACAATTAACATCCCGAGGATGTTTTTGCTCCTAAAATTAAAAAGCTAAACATTTCAAATACAAAAGCTACATACATACAGTATATACTGTTCAGGTTTTTTCAAAATGGGGGCCGCGGGCCCCTGGGGGGCCGCCAGGGGGCCGTGGTACTTTTAAAATTACTAACAAAATTTAATAATTTTTTCAATAATTATTTTAAAATATATTTTATAACAATATATTGAAATTTTTTCACCATACTCATCTTTCTAATTGGCTGCCAGTCAAATGTATCAAACTGCTTTACTCTGCAAGCTAACATAGCAAGGATGAAATGAAGAAGTTTCTAAAATATAAATTTTAAAAAAGACAGCCGGAACCGACCAGCAGCCCTGCTGTGGTGGAAACTGCTGCTGCAAAAAAAAGGCAAATAACTCATGGCCAGCTAAAATTTGAACGTATGAGGAATCATAAAAATGGCTATGATCACCCAAAATATGTCGTCTGTCTGGAGACCCTCAAAAACGAGTGTTTAAAACCTTCAAAACTCCAGCGCCACTTGAGTGGGAATGTAATGCAGTGTTTAAAACATGTTAGTTAATAACATTTTTATGCTCAGCAGCTGTAATAATTAACTGAATATAGTGAATAAAAGTTAAAACATTCTAAAAGTTGATGTTTCTTTGCATATTTTGTAGCATTGTTTGTGGGTTAGTGAGAGGGGCCTCGGCCAGAAGCTAATACTGTTTGGGGGGCCATGGCATGGAAAAGTTTGAGAGCCCCTGCTGTAGATCACATTAATTAACCTGAAGACAGAGTGAATCTGTAGGCTTCTAAACACCAGCCAGCCAGGTGTTGGTACTGTGAATTATTTGCCTTGTTAGTAAGATTTAACTAATCGTTGCAGTCAGTCAACATGGCAGACTGTGCCAGTTCCTTGTGGTGAAGGAGGAGTTGAGCTGCAAGAAGAAGCTCTCTGTTTATCATTTAGTCATGCCTATGGTCACAGACTCCAAAAGAAAGAACAACATCACGTATACCGGTGGTGGAAATTAGTTTCCTCTGCAGGATAGCTGGACTGTCCCTTAGACATAGGGTGAGAAGTTCATTTATCTGGGAGAGACTCGGAGTAGAGCCGTTGCTCCTCCACATTGAGTGGAGCCAATTGAGGTGGTTCAGGCATCTGGTAAGGATGCCAACTGGACACCTCCTTAGGGAGGTGTTTTGAGTATATATAACTTGGAGGAGACCCCAGAGAAGACTCAGGACATGCTGGAGTGACTGTTTCTCCCAGATGGCCTGGGAATGCCTTGGAATCCTCCCAGAAGAGCTGGAAGAGGTTGGATGGATGGATGGATGGATGGATGGATGGATGGATGGATGGATGG